ATTCTAGATTAAAGTATAAAAAAAGGTACTAATTTTACACTATTAAATATGAAATCTCAATAAAAGATTTAAGATTCTGCTTTTTATTTTAAGATTGTATTTATTTATTTGACAGAGAGAGAGCACACAAGCAGGAAGAGGGAGAAGGAAAAGCAGGCTCCCGTTGAACAGAGAGCCCCGACATGAGGCTCTATCCCAGGAGCCTGGTATCACGACCCAAGTGGAAGGCAGACGCTTAGCCAAGTGAGCCACCAAGGCGCCCCAGGGCAATTTTCTAAGAAAACAAAATTATCAAAATCAATTCAAGAAGGAAAAAAAAAAAGTAAAACCAAAAACCCACAAACCCTGAATGGCTGAGGAAAACAGCTGTCCAGTAACTATTCCCCCCAAACAGCACTGAATCCATATTATTTAAAAAGTGCTTTCTAGTCTACCTTCAAAGAATAGGTAATTCCTACACTAAAACAGTGTAAAACTTCTCAATTCATTTTTATAATCCTGATGGTAACACTTGTCACAAAACAGTAATACCAATTAAATATACAAATATACATGCAAATATCAGAAAGGGAGACAGAACATAAAGACTCCTAACTCTGGGAAACGAACTAGGGGTGGTGGAAGGGGAGGAGGGCGGGGGGTGGGCGTGAATGGGTGACGGGCACTGAGGGGACACTTGATGGGATGAGCACTGGGTGTTATTCTGTATGTTGGTAAATTGAACACCAATAAAAATTAATTTATTAAAAAAAACAAATACACATGCAAAACTTCAAATAATCTATTAGCAAATTAATGGAACAGTGTACCATGATCAAAAGGGTTCATTCTAGAATATACAGATGGCACCATTATCAGATCTACTGACTAATATTAAGAGATTAAAAAACACACACACTCAATTTATCTAAGAAGGCTTCTGATGAAAATTCAACATCTGATCCTGAGGAAAACAGTTCCTATCCTAGTAATTAGAAGGGTACTTCCTCCACATGATCTATTGAAACAACAATCACAGAACTTAACACTGATACATTAGAGGTAGTTTCATTAAAGACAGAACAAGATAAGCCTGACTACCATCAATGCTATTATAGTTAATACTGCTCTGGAACTTCTACCCAATAAAAGAAAACAAGAAAACAGGTGAAGTGTGGATATTTGAAAACTTACAAATGGGAAGTATTTAGAGAAAACCATTATTTTCTAAAGCCTCAAGTAAATAAAGCAAAAAAAAAATTATAAGACAAACAACAATTAACTGCTTTCCTTTAAAACAATAATAATCAGTTTGAAAAAGATGATGGGAAAACAGATCCCAGTCACAATAATAAGAAAATAAATAACCACTCAGGAATAAACTAAACAAGACTACTTCTATGAAAAGTAAATAATGACTTGGGAAAATAAGCCTCCTATAACTTTCAAAGTCACATAAAGAGCAAAATAAAACCATAATAGTAAGAGGAAGAAATATAGGCATATGTTTTTATAATTTTGGACTGTGAGAGGTCTTTTTAAACTTTTTTATCAAGGGCAGTAATTACAAAGAAAAAGATCTGACTATATAAAAAATTAGAAGTATTATACTGCAGAATGCATCATATATAGAGATATAGATATATAGAGATAAAAGAAAAATGACAAACTGGGGAAAGGATCAGCAATATGTGACAAAGAGTTAAGATATTTAACATACAATGAGTTCTCATGAAGCCATTACAAAAATTTGAAGATCTCAGTGGAAGGGGGGGAAAAAAGTAAGAGGTTTGAATAGGCAAGTCACTAAACAATACTAATAAATGGCTGATAAACATAAAAAGACATTGAATTCACTGTAATCAGAGAAATGTATAACAAAATAACACACTGTTTTCTTGCCCCTCATATTAGAAGGGATGAAAAACAATACTACTGTCTTGCCAGAAGTATGGGAAAAGTGGTACAGCTTTTCTGAAGGAAAATTTTGTAAACTATAACAGGTGTCAACAAGGTGTGTAATTTTTGGACATTACAATTCCAATTGTAGATTATCCTAAGAGAATACAAAGTGCACAATATTTAGCTATTAACAAGAAAAGAGATATTCATCATTGTAACAGGAAGAAATTCATATAGTACATATATTAAATATATCAATTACATTAATTAAATTAAAAGATCATAGTATGCAGTATACTGCATTTAATGACACTGCAATCTTTAAAATTACTATGAAAGGAGGACCTTATATATCAAAGACCAAGCAGGTAACAATTACAATTTTTGTTTTGTTTTTTATTTTTATTATTTTTTAAAGATTTTATTTATTTATTCATGAGAGACACAGAGAGAGAGGCAGAGACACAAACAGGGAGAAGCAGGCTCCATGCAGCGAGCCTGACGTGGGACTCAATCCGGGGTCTCCAGGATCACACCCTGGGCCAAAGGCAGGCACTAAACTGCTGAGCCACCCGGGCTGCCCATGAGCCACCCGAGCTGCCCCAATTTTTGTTTTAAAAAAGTAAATGTAGGGATCCCTGGGTGGCGCAGCGGTTTGGTGCCTGCCTTTGGCCCAGGGTGCGATCCTGGAGACCCGGGATCGAATCCCACGTCGGGCTCCCGGTGCATGGAGCCTGCTTCTCCCTCTGCCTATGTCTCTGCCTCTCTCTCTCTCTGTGTGACTATCATAAATAAATTAAAAAATTTAAAAAAATAAAAAAGTAAATGTATATATGTTTTATACATTCATATAAGTGTATGTAAATATATACATTTTATCCTAATTAGAAAGAAAGCTAAGAGAACTAAAACATTAACAATTTACCTCTGGATAATGGGACTATATAAGTATTAGGTATTTACTGCTGCATAACAAATTGTGTCAAAGTTCGGTGCCTTAAACAAAAAATGTTCATTATCCTAGTTCCTTTGGGTGAGGAATCAGGACCCAGTTTAGCTGGCTGGTTCTGCCTCACGGTTTCTCATGAAGTTTCAGTCAGGATGTTTGCTGAGGTCAGTCATCTCAAGACTTGACTAGGGCCGAAGGATCCACTTCCAAGACTCACTCACACTGCTGTTAGCAGGTAAACTCAATCTCTTGCATCACGGGCCTCTTCACAGACAGGATGCTTCATGACATGGCAGCTGGCTAACCCCAGAGCCAAAAGTGATCAAGACAGAACAAGGCAAATGAGACAATTTCTAAGGCCTACTCTAGCAAGTTCCACTTTTATTCCTGCTACATTCTATTCATCAGAAGCAAGTCGCTAAGTCCAGCCCACACTCAAAGAGTAGGGTTTACCTCTTAAAGGAAAGCTCATCACTGGGTGTTATACTATATGTTGGCAAATCGAACTCCAATAAAAAAATATACAAAAAATAAATAAAGTCAGAGACTGGGGGAAAAATTAAAGAAAAGCTCATCAAACAATTTGTGGAAATATTTTTAGATTTCCACAAAAGGTAACCTGTGGCATACTCAGAGAAAGGTATGTAATTTAATTTCTACATGGAAAATAAGGGATGGGGTTCCCTGGGTGGCGCAGCGGTTTGGCGCCTGCCTTTGGCCCAGGGCGCGATCCTGGAGACCCGGGATCGAATCCCACATCGGGCTCCCGGTGCATGGAGCCTGCTTCTCCCTCTGCCTATGTCTCTGCCTCTCTCTCTTTCTCTCTCTGTGACTATCATAAATAAATAAAAATTTAAAAAATTAAAAAAAAAAAGGCAAATAAGGGATGCCTGGGTAGCTCAGTGGTTTAGCATCTGCCTTGGGCTCAGGCCGTGATCCTAGGGTTCTGGGATCAAGTCCCACATCAGGCTCCCCATAGGGAGCCTGCTTCTCCCTCTGACTATATCTCTGCCTCTGTGTCTCTCATGAATAAATAAATAAACATCTTTACAAAAATGGGAAACGAATTTCACAAACACATACATACACACAGAGACACAAATCTAAAAAACATATGTCCACAATAAGTATGACATGCCTGCCAAAATAGGTAACACAATTCTGAGTCGGAATAACAGAAAAATGCCACCTAGAACAAGTTCTATAATATTCTTTACCATTTAGAATACCATTCTTAGTAAATTCTAAGTGGAAAAACTAACAAACTGGATCTTAATGCCTAGACAAAGTTACTTCAGAATGAGGGACAATCTGGAAGAAAATGGTGTTTGGCTTGAAAGTAGGCTCAAAGATGAGAAAGAGCAAACAAATCATTTCCTTCAACTATACGAATGGTTGTCATGTAGAAAAGTTAAAAACATAAGAGGTAGAACTTGAACCAATGAGTCAGAGTCACAGGGACGCCAAGTGGTTCATACAAGAACTTTCTAACAATTAAGAGTTTTGTTAAAAACCAGAAAAAGCCACTGAGTGAAATGTTCCTGGTGGCTACAGGAGGAGTGTGTGGATTGCGGCAATGTAGTGCCATTCCCTCAGCTACCTCTAAGATTCACATCCAAACTCCTACTCACATGAATATGGCTGGTGCCTTCACAAAGCAGAAGACCTAACACTAGGTTCTACGTCATGAGGCTTAAGTGAAATGTACAGTGCTCAGCATAGTGTGTGGCAAAGTGTGTGCTTTATAAATGTGGGTTCTTATTTCTGCATTGACTCAGAGTGTGACAAGATGTTTGTGAAGTCCCTTCCAATTTCTAACACTTCATAAATAAGTAAAAATCACTATAATTAGCTATTAATTCTGAAGGTCAGCTTCAGTAATATACTCAAAAGTAGGAATGACAAAGCCAGGATGGCTGGACATGCTTTGGGAAACCACAAAGAACAGAGGCAGTCACTTATGTAGACATGTAAAAACCACAAAAATCAAAACTAAACATATTCAAACAAGACATATCCTCTCTGGCATATGAGGTCTGCTTTCTGGAATGAAAGTATTTTAGAAAAGAGACTCAAACTGGGCTGTTTCACCTACTCAGAGCAAATTAGATTATTACAATTAGTTTATTCACCTGTGCCTGCCAACTACCCACCACAACTGAAAACTTACTTTTTGGGTGCCAGGAGCCTGGACTTTCTGCCATGTTGCTACAGGTTCTGTAGCTATGTGCCACTCTGGGTAAGTTTTCGTGAGTAACTTCACAAAGGTGGACTTTCCTACAGCTGCAATGCAAAGAGCATGTATTGGGACACTTCCCAAATCCGGGCGGAAGGAGAAGGCTGCTACTAAACTCTGGTACTGAGGCCCAACTTAAGGCAACAAGTACCAGTTTTCCCAATTTCAAAGCTCAGCACCATACCACTGTCCAACTGATGATGGGTGAGGCCGTGCTAACACAAGCAAGAGGGTGGAAAATGCCCTTAAGATCTGACTTGCAGGTTAACACCTTAACCTCCCAGAGGCAGAGTAATTTAATAACAGTTGAAAATGTAATAGGACTACCAAAAGTAGAGGAAATCAGCTACTTAAGTTGTCAGGCTTGAATCATATTTATTTTGTGACAGAATAAAAAAAAAAAAGATTTTCAAGGAAGAAAATGAAGATTATGACCCTCATTCATTCAACAAACCTAACCAGTCTTTCCTGGAGTCCTTACTATGGGCTCATAGTGCTATGTCTCTGCCTCTTTCTCTGTGTCTGAATAAATAAACAAAATCTCAAAAAATAAAATAAAAACATAAAAATGAGATGGAATCTTATCATTTCCCTGCTTAAACCATTGCCATGGACTTCTGATTGCCCTTAGAATAAATTCAAACTTCTTACCAGGCTAGGAGGCCCTCGCTGATCTGGCCTCGCCTGCCTACCTGCCTTTACATACCTCTGGAGCCACTCTTCTCCCTCACTTGACCAGGCCTCTTCTAGGCTCAGGCTTCTCTTCTGTCCTGTCATACACTAAGTTCTTTCTCTTTCCCTGCCTTTGTTTATATGGCTCCCTCTGCCTGGACTGCCCCTCCCCTACCCCGAGCCTGGCTAACTCCTCACCTTTCAGATCGTACCTCAGACAGCATTTTCTTCAGAGGAAACTTCCCTGGTCTCCTGAGCTCTATTATAGAGTCATCCTGCATTTTTCTCTCCTAGCATGTAACAATTTGGTATTAGTTACCTCGGTGTTTGTTTAGTATCTCCCATACAACCTCTTGAGGGCAAAGTCCATCCTATGTTTTGTTTATCACTGCACCCCCTGCGCTACCCAGATGTCCTCCATCTCATTTTTTAAATTAATTAATTAATTCATTAATTTTTTATTTTTATTTTTTAAAGATTTTATTTATTTACTCATGAGAGACACACACACACACAGAGAGAGAGAGAGAGAGAGAGAGGCAGAGACATAGGCAGAGGGAGAAGCAGGCTCCCCACGGAGAGCCCAATGTGGGGCTTGATCCCGGGGACTCCAGGATCACATCCTGGGCCAAAGGCAGGCACTTAACCACTGGGCCACCCAGGAGTCCCATCCCATGTCATTTTTAAAAGATTACTCTCCCAGCTGTGTAAGAACAGACTGACACAGAAGTAGGCAAACCAATTAGAAGATAATAGCAGCCTGAACCATGGGATGGCAGGAGGTGGAAAATAGTGGTTGAGATGAAATCACCCTACTACAACAAATTACCTCTTCCCATTTACGCCAATGTCTGGCCCATAACCTCCCTGCACTCCAGATTCACTATCCAAGCATAGGATGTCCCACAAACACCTCAGTTAATCTGCTCCCTACATGAATGAAGTCATCATCATCCCCACCAAACTGAACGTCCTCCCATAACCCCCAGACCCTGGGGGATGGCAGCAGCATCCACTAACTGTTAGAACTTCTCCCTCCAAACCACCTCTGCCAAACCTCAAGGAGCCATCAAGTCCTTCCGCACCTGCCTTCTACATTTTCCCCATCTGTCCTTTTCATTCCATTCCCACCTCCAAGCTCATATTCAGGTTCTCATCTTCTGCCTCTGAGTCTAGTTTTGCCCTCTTTAATCCATCATTCATACTACAGCCACAATGAACACAAAATAACACTGCTTAAAACCCTCTTGACAGGGCAGCCCCGGTGGCCCAGCGGTTTGGCGCCGCCTGCAGCCTGGGGTGTGATCCTGGGGACCCGGGATCGAGTCCTATGTCGGGCTCCCTGCATGGAGCCTGCTTGTGTCTCTGCCTCTCAGTCTCTCTCTCTGAATAAAATAAATAGATCTTAAAACAAAACAAAAAAAAAAAAAAAAAAAAAAAAAAAAAAACACCCTCTTGACAGTTCCCTATTACCTTCATGACAAAATCCAAGGTCTATAAGACACATCAAGATCTGGTCCCTGCATGTACCTCCCTGGCCTCAGCTTCTTTTAGGCACCTTGAACTGCTGACTAAACCCCTTGCAACTCCAATCCTGCCATGTTCTTTCCTGCAAATGTGATTTTGCATATGCACTCCCATTTCCTGGAGCACCTTCTCTCCTCACTTGTCACCTCCTACTCAATCTTTGAATCTGCCCAGATGTGCTTCCTGTATAAAGCTTTTCCAGACCCTGACACATCTGACCTGGACTAGCTAATCATCCTTTATACTTGGCCTAGAGTTCTGGGTAAGAATTCATCACTGCAATTTTGATTTTTATTTAACAAATGTTTAAAAAAAAACCACCTCGCTCTGTGTCTGAATAAACAAAAGCTAAATAAAAAAACATTTACTTAACATTTGTTAAATAAAAATCAAAAAATGACTTAAGAGTATGTCAGAGTTCAATTCCCTCTATCATAGATGATCTTTCTCAAACAAATTGTATCCTTAGGGAGAATCTGAATGGAACCAAAAGAAGGAAGGGAGGCACCCTTCAAGTCAATTCTATCAGCCACTTGAGGTTACTGATCAAGAGTGAAGGGATGGGGATGATGCCTGGGTGGCTCAGCGATTGAGCATCTGCCTTTGGCTCAGGGCACAATCCCAGAGTCCTGGGATAAATTCCCGCATCGGGCTCCCTGCATGGAGCCTGCTTCTTCCTCTGCCTGTGTCTCTGCCTCTCTCTCTCTCTCTCTCTCTGTGTGTCTCATGAATAAATAAAAATCTTAAAAAAAAAAAAAAAGGAGTGAAGGGATGTCTCAGAAGAGCCCACACATCCAATATGTGCCATTGATTACACACCACCACCCCAACTCATGTCTGAACAACACAGGGTAAGAACAAACAACACGAATCTGTGTGCTCTGTACAGTCATGTTCATCTCTCAGTTCCATCTCCACCCAGCCTATGTGTGCCTTTGTACATCCGCCCAGTCTCTTCTCTTCCCACACTTCAGTGAATAAATGCCTTCCCCTGCTCTTCCTGGCCTGTGTCTAAATCCTTTCTGCCTAAGGCCCCACCTCTTCCATAAAGTTTAGAATGTCTCTAGGTCACATGGAATTCCTACCGCATTGGGCAACTGAATCAACTAATACTTAACTATTTATGAGATGTTTTGCATTTAATTGTTTTGATTGCTTCATTGGGTCTTAATTTTGGTTGCCTAACACGATCTGACTCGCTGGGGTTGGGGCCTAGGAATCCACAATTATAAGTATGTTCCACATGATCCTGATGCATACTTATATTTGAGGTTGCTATCCAGAACAATTTGATCAAAATCAACAGAGGTGGGTTTTTTTTTTGTTTTTTTAAATATAGGTTCTAGGGACGCCTGGGTGGCTCAGTGGTTGAGAATCTGCCTTCAGCTCAGGGTGTGATCCCAGGGTCCTGGGATTGAGTCCCACAACAGGCTCCCCACAGAGAGCCTGCTTCTCCCTCTGCCTGTGTCTCTGCCTCTCTCTGTGTGTCTCTCATGAATAAATACAATCTTAAAAAAAATAAAAATTAAAAATATAGGTTCTAAAACCACATACCAGACTAGTGAATAAAAGCCTATAGGCTGCACCAGTTCACATTCCCACCAACAGTGTAAGAGGGTTCCCTTTTCTCCGCATCCTCTCCAACATTTGTGGTTTCCTGGCTTGTTAATTTTCCCCATTCTCACTGGTGTGAGGTGGTATCTCATTGTGGTTTTGATTTGTATTTCCCTGATGGCAAGTGATGCGGAACATTTTCTCATGTGCATGTTGGCCATGTCTATGTCTTCCTCTGTGAGATTTCTGTTCATGTCTTTTGCCCATTTCATGATTGGATTGTTTGTTTCTTTGGTGTTGAGTTTAAGAAGTTCTTTATAGGGCAGCCCAGGTGGCTCAGTGGTTTAGCGCTGCCTTCAGCCCAGGGTGTGGTCCTGGAGGCCCAGGATCAGGTCCCACATCGGGCTCCCTGCATGGAGCCTGCTGCTCCCTCTGCCTGTGTCTCTGCCTCTTTCACTGTCTCTCATGAATAAATAAATAAAATTTAAAAAAAAAAAGAAGTGCTTTATAGATCTTGGAAACTAGCCCTTTATCTGATACGTCATTTGCAAATATCTTCTCCCATTCTGTAGGTTGTCTTTTAGTTTTGTTGACTGTATCCTTTGCTGTGCAAAAGCTTCTTATCTTGATGAAGTCCCAATAGTTCATTTTTGCTTTTGTTTCTTTTGCCTTCGTGGATGTATCTTGCAAGAAGTTACTGTGGCTGAGTTCAAAAAGGGTGTTGCCTGTGTTCTCCTCTAGGATTTTGATGGAATCTTGTCTCACGTTTAGATCTTTCATCCATTTTGAGTTTATCTTTGTGTATGATGCAAGAGAGTGGTCTAGTTTCATTCTTCTGCATGTGGATGTCCAATTTTCCCAGCACCATTTATTGAAGAGACTGTCTTTCTTCCAATGGATAGTCTTTCCTCCTTTATCGAATATTAGTTGACCATAAAGTTCAGGGTCCACTTCTGGGTTCTCTATTCTGTTTCATTGATCTATGTGTCTGTTTTTGTGCCAGTACCACACTGTCTTGATGACCACGGTTCGGTGTCCATCGAAAGATGAATGGATAAAGAAGATGTGGTTTATGTATACAATGGAATATTACTCAGCCATTAGAAACGACAAATACCCACCATTTGCTTCAACGTGGATGGAACTGGAGGGTACTATGCTGAGTGAAGTAAGTCAATCGGAGAAGGACAAACATTATATGTTCTCATTCATTGGGGAATATAAATAATAGTGAAAGGGAATATAAGGGAAGGGAGAAGAAATGTGTGGGAAATATCAGAAAGGGAGACAGAAC